TTTATCATCATCAAGTCCAGAGGAAAAAACCAAAGAAACCCCAATGGAAGTGAAACCATCTGTCTTCAGTGCGTTTGATTTATTAATATCCCTATCTTCAGGATTTGATCTCTCTAGTTTGTTTGAGGAAGATACGTGTCGAAGACAACACGCTAGATTCACCACCACGAAGCCGTTTTTTTTTATTACCAAAATGCTATAAACAGTAAAAATATATATCAAAATACTGTACTTTTAAAAGTATTTATTAATATGTTATACTTAAAATCGTTTTTCAGGTAAACAATTTTTAAAGTCGTTTTTTCTGATAAATGATTTTTTCAGAAACAATTATCGATGTGCGTGAAGTGATTGAAAATTATTTTTCGGATGAACGACCTCAAAAATTATTATTTTGGTGAATGACTTCAAAACTTCATCTCCTATTGAAAGACTTTTCACCTTCTCTCCTAATAAATGAAAATAAAATAATTAGTATAATGATTTACATTCGGACTTGGATTTCATTCAAGTAGAGGATGGATGGCTATATGCAATTGTTAATGCTCCTATAGCACTTGATGAACTTAATCGAATATCTCAGTACACGCAATAGTATTGGAGACATACAACACGATGGATTTAACATATCAATGGTGATACAGGTCGCACGGTAAGTTTTTCATCTTTTCACCATTAATATCGTTTTCTTTTACACAAAAAGTGTTATTATCTTATATCTTATTATTTATTTCAATCTGACATAGCAGAGGAGATATACGGGCTATCAATTAATTCTTGTTCAACATGCCCTAGTCGTATTGATTATCGAGACAGGATTGCTCGTGACCAACGTAATGTTTTACTTACACTTAGAGAACAACGTTTTAATATGAACCCTCAGCCTGCTCCACCAACAATTGAGTTGCCTTGGCCACAAATTCCTCGTGATAGACCGAGCAAGCGACGTGGGAGTTACTTGTCTACCCAACCTATAATTGAAAGCAAAAATGCAAGGGAACAAGAACTTCCAATTTTTACTCAAACTTGTGACATATCACCATCACAATTATCCCTCTTCACCTCTGTCAATCCTACACAACTTGAGTCTCATTACATCGCACCCTCATCATCATCCCTTTTCAATTCAGCCAATCCTTCACAACTTTAATCGTTCATGACTTTATTAGATAATCATGTACTATTTTTAATTGAATAAAATGCCTTTACTTTTGAACATGGTGGACCATAAATGAAGCATTTGTCATTCCTCAACAATCTATACATTTAAATGAATCACCTTGATTTGATTTGAACATGCCAACTATACAAACAAATGAGACACTTGAATATCAAAAAATTGATATACAACAACAACGGCTACAATGTATGAGAAGGAGGGCAAGATGTATTACTATAAGTCACTATCAGAAAAGTGGATAACTTTTTCTTTTTAAACTTAATTTTTATTTATTATTCTTTATAATAAAATATTTATTACTTCTTTATTTTTAATTAATATACATCTTATACTCATTTTTCAATTAGTTTTAATATCATTATATAATTATCAACATTTTCCTCTCATTATTTAGTTATGATTTTGTCATTTAAATGATTGATAAATCATTATACTAAATCATTTTAGTTTCATTTATTAGAAGAGGAGGTAAGAAGTCGTTCAGAAGGAGATGAAGTTTTGAAATCATTCACCATGAGAATGATTTTTAGTCATTTCACAAACATCAATAACTAATTCTGAAGAAATCATTCACCAGAAGAATGACTTTAAAAATTGTTCACCTGAAAAATGACTTTAAATGTCGCATATTGGTAAATACTTTTAAAAGTGTAATATTTTGGTATATATTTTTACTGTTTGTAGCATTTTGCTAAAAAAAGGCCCCACGAAGCCCACCTCAACAATTGTTTCAAAATTATAATTTTTGAACTTAAAAATGACAGATGAGGTGTTGTGAAATTTCAATAAATAAATTGTAAAAATGCGAGAAAATTTTGAAATAAATCTATAAAATATAATGGGTCAATGCAAAATACTCGCATATAAGATGGCCAGTCAATTTCAAAATTTTACTTCTAAATTGTGGCAGATGAATCTGTAAATAAAAATAATATTTAAAATGTTAATATTCTAATAAATAATAATAATAAGTTGACTTATTGAACTTATTTTGGTGATTCACTTCTAAATCCAATATTGCTACATCTAAATGCAAAACTTGTTTTAAATAATGTTTTAATTAATATCATTTTTTCTTGCAATTATTAAGATTTTTTGAACGAAAAAAAGAGCCAATTTCATGGCCCACATATATAATAATTTTTCACAAGAAATTAACGAAACGTTTTTTTTCCCTGTTCTTTTTGACTGCTATCTGCATGTTGTCCAAAAGATCACGCAATATATATCCCACAAATGCCTCCCCACTTGAAGTCACATTGGAATGAGACCCTTGAGGTGGATGAATCCATTAATGCTCAATATCAATTAATTAGAAAGCCAGAGGTTTTCATTATATGAATGAATGGTTCTAAGACATGCCCTTCATATCGCGTCACGGTGTAGCCAAAACCCACGAAAGTCTCATTTCTCTCTCCCATTTATGAGTAAAATCTACTCCTTCGGTCCTTATTATAAGACCCCATTTGACTTTTTATTTGGTCCTAATTTTAAGATCCCAATCCATTTTTGTCTTTTATATTTATGCATTTTTTTTCAAGATAATCCTTCTAATAATGATAGTTATAGCTAATATACTTAATTAGCAAGGATATTTTAGGAATGACAACACTTATTTATTATAAATAACCAACTTAACTTACTTTCTTAATCTCCTCAAATAAGCCAATTGGGTCTTATAATTAGGACCGGAAGAGTATTTTTAAAGTGGTAAATTTCTCTAATAATATTCTGAGTTGTGGAAATCCATAATAATCCGGTAAGTCCTCGATATATATATGTGTGTGTATATGTGCAATTAACTCACTTGAAAATAAAGAAAAGAAAAGTGGAAATCTTGACCATGATTCCTCTAGCTATCTCTAACAATACTTAAACTCAAGACTTTGGGGGTATTTGAGTTAGTTTTTCATAAACTATATAAAAACATTTTGTTTAATATTTTTTTCAAGTATACCAAATTTTTGTTTGTAAGGAAACTCTTAAAACCTCTTTCACTGAGAAGAGTGTTTAGATAAAACCAAATTATAATTTTAAAAATAATTTTATAACACACAAAGTAAACATATAAAAAAATTTATCTCAATTTAAAAATATACTTTCGAGATAAGCCAAACACCTCAGAACCACCAGTAATTGGGTTGGTATTTCTTTGGCTCTCTCTCAAAAAAAAAAAAAGTCGAAATAAGATCCAAATCTCAGGCTGCATGGCTTGGGGTGCGCGCTCTTGGCCCACGTGGGAACACAATGGCTATTCCAAATGTTAAGATTCTGTTGGTCAGCACTGGGGTCCGCAAAAATCCACATCGGGTGGGTTCATTCAGATTCAATGTCCTTCAAGTGGGTCAGAAGTTTTAATGATTACGTTATCATTAAATTTACATTTTAATCTAATTCGAGCTGATTTGGGTGCCCAGAATAATACTTTCTCCGTTTTTTATTATAAGAGACAAATAACCAAATTATGTTGATAAAAAAATAATTAAAATTAGTTAAGAATAATTAATGTGTAAAAAGTATAATTTTTTTTTCAAAAATGCCCTCATTAATAAGAAGAGAAAGCATGAGAGAGAACAATTAAATTATTAAAAGGAAGAGAAGTGAGAGGGAGAGAGTGTGTGAGTTGGAGACAATAAGTATGGGTAAAATAAGAAATTAATACAAAAAAATAAAAATAACTTTTAAGTGTCTCTTATATATAGGAACATGATATAAACATTAAATGTTTTTTATAATAAGAAACAGAAGGAGTAATAAGTTTTCACTATTCTTTTTTTGGATACTAATTTTGCTATTATCAAATTTTTTGATAACAACAGGACAAAATAAAATTTTAACATCCATAATATAAGACTTAATTAACTAATTTAAGTATAATAAGCTTAATTAAGGATGTTAATTAAATTAGTTAATATAATATATTTTTTAAACATCCTAAATATATTTTTTTAATTCCCTTCCTCCTTTTATTACTTGATTATTGTTGACAAAATATCAAAAGGACTAAAAAAAATTATAAATATGTAAAATAAGTCTTATATATACGATCAACATTAACTCTCTAATTAGCTTCTATATTAGCTAGAGGAGTATAATATTTTTTTAGAGCAGAAATTATATATTAACACTCAAAGGTCTTATTACCCATAAAAACTAATCCGGTCTTATTTATGGAAAGAATAACTTGATGCTTAAAATATAGAATATTTAAGAAAATTGCTTAAAATTGCTCCTTTCAAATCTTTCTAAGTGTCTGTTTGGATTAGCAGTAGACAACTGTGATTTTAAATAATCATAAATTTTACAAGTGACACTGGCTATAAGTGACAGTGGTCAATCGTGATTTCTGTTTGGATATTTTTTTTATAAGTAATTTTAAGAATCATGATTATGTTTGGTTTTCATTTATTAAAATCGTTTATAGATGTATAATTACTAAAAAGGACATGAAGTTAATATTTAAAGAGATATTTTTAGAAGAGGATAGGAGGGTAGAATGGAGAAAATTTAATTGCTAAAGATTGATCGAGATTTTTCAAAAGTATAAACTACTCCTTGTTGCTTATTGTAAAAGTGCGACAAAAGAGTAAAATCACGATTGATTGGGATTTTATAAAAATTACCCAAATAAGACAAACATACTTCATAATCACTTATTTAGATTTAAACAGGCTTATTTGAGATCTTACCAAGGAACAAAAAACCGGACCGGAGACTAAACCGGTCGAGACAGTGGGTCAAGGGTCACTGGTCGGACCGGGGTCGGACCGGTCATATTAAAATGATATAATTTAATTTATAACATTAAAATAGAACAAAATTTATAAATAATAATTAGTTGAAAAAAGATAAAAAATTACAAAAGTAGTTTAAATATTTCATTGTACCAAGCAAACATTAATAAACTACATATCTTCATCGCTATGGAAAATCAAAATCATCATTAAGGTCATTGGCAATGGCATGGACCGAGACATCAACAGTTGGACAAGGAACAATAGGAGTGACAACATCATCATGCAAAGGTGGAGGATCAGCAATATCCATATCTTCATCACCTATGTAAGACAATAAGCAATATTAATGATTATGCAAATAATTATATTCATCTAAGAATAGAGTGTTAATTATATATATAAACCTTCGTTATCCCTCTCAAGAGTTGTTGAATTTGCAATGTTTTCATTGTTAATGACACTTTCAAGTGTAGCCATATCTCTATCATCAAACTCTGGAGTGGGATCTTCTTCAGCCACCCAAAAGTCCACCATGTCAATATTTTCATAGTCAATTGGATCATAACTTTTCTTCTTCTTTAATGTACTCCTTTAATGACAAGTAAAACTTCAATTAAACATAAATCAATTAAAATAAAAGACTAAAAGTATTCATTATTTTCAAGATTACCTATGCTTCAACCGCAGATTGTAGTTTGTGAACACCAAATCATTCAACCTCTTATGCTTCAATCTGTTTCTTCTTTTTGTGAATTCTTTCAAACAAACTCTAATTCCTCTCACAACCAGAAGAAGCAGAAGTTTGACTAAGAATACGCATTGCAACACGCTGCAATTCTGGAACTGAACAACCATAATATGTCCACCATTCATCTACATAATAAAATACATTTAGTATACAATAGTATAAGAATTAGTAAATAACTATGAATATACTATAAAGTATTAACACTTACAAGGGTCTAATTTTTGTGCAGCTTTTTGACATGAGGGTCTACTAAAAGATTCCTTGCCTTCACGATAAGTAGTTGCTTGTTTCATTACCAGAAAGCCATCAACATCTTCATCTGAGTAAGACTCCACCACATCAATCAACGCCATCATTAACTTTGACTTACTAGGACAATCTGGATCATATGTGATTGCAGGATTTAACAAATATGATGCTGCATGAAGATTAGTCTTCAAATGCCTGTCCCATCGAGCTTGAATGATGCTTGTGTAGGGCTTATACAACTCCTTGTTCCTTTTAAACATCTCTTTAATCGCCACTTTTGCCCTTCGCATGCCTTCATAAACATAAGGCAATGAAGGCTTCTCATCTGAATCCACAATTCTCAACAACTTTATGAGAGGCGACACAATCTTCACAACTTGATAACAATCATTCCAAAACCGATTATCTAATATGAGGGCACTAAAATTTTTTCCTGCCTCAGTCCTGGATAATTTGTGATCCACAAAATGCTTATCAACAACTAGAGCTTGCAAGTCATTTTTGTGCATATATATACTATGCAACATAATAAATGTAGTAGCAAATCTTGTGGCACCAGGACGTACAATTTCTTTCCAACTCGGTCTTTTCCTCAACCATGAGAGGAAAACCATATGGTTGTATGCAAAAATTGTTATCTTTGAGGCTTTTGATGCAAGGTCTGACACATGAGGCATGCTGGAAAAATCTTTCAATACAAGATTCAAACAATGAGCAGCACAAGGCGACCAATAAATATTTTTATATTTTTCCTTAATCAGCCTACCACATGCTACATAATTGGCTGCATTGTCAGTCACTACATGGACAATGTTCTTAGGACCAACCCACTCAATGACTTCACAGAATAGAGTAAATAGAGTTTTGGCATCTTTAACTAAATCTGATGCATCAACAGACTTCACAAACACCATACCATGTGTAGAATACACCAAAAAGTTTATCAAAGTCCGTTGTCTAATGTCAGTCCATCCATCAGCCATGAGTGTGCAACCGTTGTTTTTCCATTTAGCTCGATGGCTCTCAATGAGTAACTGACATTCTTTTCTCCAATCACTCAATAAATTAGTTTTGAAATCATAAGCACTAGGAGCTTTAAACCCAGGCCCAATTGAAGCAATACCATCCACAGCTTTTTGAAATAAAGGGCAATCAAATGCCTTGAATGGAATACAGTTTACAATAGCCCATTCAGCAATCAACATTTTCACATTGTGTTTTGCTTCTTTAGTTGCTAATGCACTTTTAATGCCTGGTTGGGAATCAAGAGCTGTCCTAGGAGCAAAGTAATTGTCCAAACTCCCAGGAGCTCTCCTCTTCGTCCCACTACTCATAGTAATTGGAGAATCAACATGGGTTTCTTCTAGGTCCTCATCTATGTTTTCAATAGCCTTTTTCTTTGAACATTCTTTCAAAGACTCTATCATTCTATGACGCACATCATGTGAAACTTTTTTGCATGAAGCTATTTGACCAGTAATACCAGCAAGATGTTGTTTCATTCTGTTTATCCCACCTCCTCTATAATTATTACCACAAAAAAGACATGTATATATAGTTTGTGTCCCCTCTTTTTTGTAGGCAACATGTGCCCATGCAGGATCAGATTTACCACGCAATGAAGAAGCCGGGGTGGGAGAAGAGGTTTCGGTATTAGGAGTGGAAGATTGAGTGACATTTTCATTTCCAGAACTTTGATTGTTTGGAATATCCATAACTGCTATTAAATAACAAATCAAAAATTAATAAAAATGATCAAACACAAACAATAGAGCCACAAGCTTCAGCCTTTCAGGAACCACTTCAAAACACAAATTTGGAATATGCAATGAAAGGCAGAACTAGAATTAGGAACACAAGTACACAACATCAATATTCAGTTAAAGGCAGAACCAGAATATCAGCCAACACAATATCATTATTCAGTGAAACGCACAACCAGAATTAGGATCAGTCCACAATATTTCCAATCATCATATTAATCCATAGAATGGCAGAAGCAAAACTACTGGTCGGTCCACAACATTAAGATCAGCCAACATGCCAAAATACTTCTAACATTGTTTATTTGTTCTAATTTCACTTCTGTTTAGCAGAGCAATCAGTGAATAAAATCAATTAATGAATAGTTAAGTACCGGTATTTAATCGGAGGCAGCGGCACAGAGCAACCCGTGACCACCAAACTCAACGAGCAGAGGCGCAGAGCAACCCACCGATCAGTGGCACAGGAACACCGGTCGACCACTCAGTGAGCAGAATATGCCGAATACGGACACCGATCGACCACCAAACTCAACGAGCAGAGCAACCCACCAGCACCGCTTCTCCACTCTCCACGGCAAATCGGCGGCGCAGGGACGTCGGTCGACCACCGAACCAAACTCAGCGAAGAAGGAAATGCCGAATACGGACCCTAGACCACGGCGCCTCCACCTCCACCACAAGTCGACCAACCCACCGGCACCGCTGTCTCCACTCTCCACGGCAAGTCGACGGCGCTGCAAGGGAGAATGGCCGGACGCTCAATCAAACTCAGATACTCAGCGAAATGATGGACGATGGGAATGGGGGAAGGGATCTGCGATGTGCGATTTGCTCACAGAGCCAGGACGAAGGAGGGAATGGGGGAAGGGAACCGGGCATTCGACCGATCGGTTGAGTGAGTGTGGGATCGAAGGTTTTTTTTTTTAATATGATACGACGTCGTTTTGGGCAGTTTGAGGGGGAAAATATATAACCAGTCAACCCCCCAAACCGGGCGGTTGACCGGTTTACGACCGGTTTAACCGGTTTATTACCGGTTCACTTGGTGACCGGTTTTCTTGTTAAACCAGACCGGACTTTGGACCGGTTCACCGGCCGGTCCGGTCCGGTTTTTTTTTCATTTGATCTTACTGCTTAACCAAACAAGCTTTAAAGGAATCAGAATCCAATTGACGTTATCTGAGCAAGCATTAATTATTTTTCGGTTATCCAATTGACGTTACCCGTGGTTGGGTGGCGATACTTGTAATTGAAAAAGAAAGCTCGGAAATTGAAGATGACGTTAGGAGTTTCTGAACCAGGCATTTATACATCTGTCACTCGCAAATTTAAGAGTTGGAATTATTGTGAACTTGGTTCCTCATCACCACCTCTAGTTTCTTAGATTTCTTCTTTTATGTTCAATAAAAATAACACACATTTTGATTATTGGTTAATTTTTCAAAAGGAAAAACAAATATGTTTGAAAGAATTTTTTTTCCTAGTTGATAACACTCATGAAATAGAAATAATATTTTAAGAAATTTTAATATGACAACAATTCAAGGGTTTTTGTACTTTTTGGAAAAAGCAAACATTACTTAGTTTATTTTTTTATTTTTTATTTATATTCCCTCCGTTCTTTTTTATAAGAAATCTTAGATTAAATTACATAAATGAAAAAGTCAATTAAATTGAGTAAAAGCAATAAATATGTAAAAATTAAAAGTATCTTCAAAATATCTTTACTTATAGAAAAAAGAGTAAAAAAATAAAAATTTCTCATCTAGTCTTAAATATAAGACTCATTTTATAGTATAATTTTTACAAAAAAAAAAAGATAGATAGGAAATGTATATATAGGATGGTAAAAAGGCAATTAACTATCTCAAATAAAAAAAATAGCAATGATTTTAAAATTTTGTTGGCCACTCGATTTCAAAATGTTTGAAATATCAATTTATTAATTTTTATATATTATATGAAAATTGGATGAGAGATATTATTTTTTCGGTCCTAAATATAAAACCCTTTTTATAGTGTAAATTACATTATAAAAGAGATATTATATTTAGGCCCAGAGGAGTATTATTTTAGAATTTATTAATGTGCCTGGTGTTTTATTTTACTGTCAATAATTTGCAATAAAATTATGGTGGACAATCTATAAGTATCAATGTTTTAAAAGCCGGACCGGAAGTCGAGCCTAGGAAACATTAAGATCAAAACATGCCTACAAGCATTAAGGTTTAAATTATTTACAAATGTTTTCTAGGCATGTTTTGATCTTAATGCTTGTAGGCATGTTTTGATCCTTGTGAGTCCTATAACCTAACTTGCTAAATTTTTAAAAAAAATGTAAATGAAACCACGTTTATTAGTGAACCTAGAATGTTTGATTTCATCACAAAATAGATTTTTTTTTCGTATTTGCATAATAATAATACTCACCCGAGAAATTGCGCGTGCAAAATATTTACGTCAATCTATTTACATCCTTCTTACAAAAATTTCAAAATGTACGCCAGGCACTTTCTTTAAATATAACAAAATATATCCACCACAGCCCATAAGCGGTGCATATAATTTTTTAAAGAGAAAATATGACTTATAAATTGTTACAAATTTTATACTACCTCCGGTCCTTAATATAAGACCCCGTTTGACTTTTAGTTTGGTCCTAATTATAAAACCTCAATCCATTTTGTCTTTTACATTTATACATTTTTTTTCCAAGATAGTCTTTCTAATGATGATAGTTCTAGCTAATACACTTAATTAGCAAGGATATTTTAGGAATGACAACACATATTTATTACAAACAATTAACTTAACTCACTTCCTTAATCTCCTCAAATTAGTCAACTAGGTCTTATAATTAGGACCGGAGGTAGTACTTTATTTGTATTTAAACTTACATTTTAATGAATATGTATTACATCACACTGTGTCATCTCTCAACGCAACTTACAACAATATATTGCTCTTTACTCCCTCTAATCGGTTCAGTGCAAAAGCTAATAGAAATAGTTTATCTAATCATAAATATAAGATTTATTATTTAAATTTATATTTTTTTAAATTCCATTTATTGATTGTACTCATTAATTCTAACTAAAAAATTTTCTATCAAAAAAATAATTTTCAATACAAATAATTAAAGGTTACTCCAATCTTACATCGAGGTGGTATAACTTTGTCAGCAAAACAATTTTTTAATGAAAGCGCATGTTAATGTTTGAAATTATTTTTGGTAGGTAACCTAAAAGGCAATTTTATCCCTTACCAAAGAAAATAGTTTTATACATGCTTTTTGGAGATTGAGATATACTCTAATGAGTAATAAGCAAAAGAGCCAGTTTACTTAAATTTTTGCCCCTATAATAATTTTTTTATAAAATTTAATGAAAAAGGGGAAAAAAAAAAAACCAAACTGAATAGTACTACCTCCGATCCTTATTATAAGACCCTATTTGACTTTTTGTTTGGTCCTAATTATAAGACCCCAATCCATTTTGTCTCTCATATTTATGCATTTTTTCCAAAATAATCCTTCTAATAATGATAGTTCTAGCCAATACACTTAATTAGCAAGGATATTTTAGGAATGACAACACTTATTTATTACAAATAACTAACTTAACTTACTTCCTTAATCTCCTTAAATAAGTCAACCGGGTCTTATAATTAGGACCGGAGGTAGTAATATCTATATACTGATTTTCTACAAATAGAGCAAAATAACGGCCTTCGGCATAATTCTGTGAATCTGTTGGCTTCCGCCTAACTCCATTCCTCTTCCTCTTCTTCTTCTTCATTGTTGTCCTCCCGCCTCTTTATTCTCAGATCTCAACCTTGAAACCCACAGTTCCTTTCTTTGCAACCCCAATGGATTCAGAGCCGGAGAAGAAAGGAACAATTCTGATGGAGAAATACGAGCTGGGCCGTTTGCTCGGCCAAGGCACATTTGCCAAAGTCTACCACGCCAGAAACATCAAAACCAACCAGAGCGTCGCCATTAAAGTCATCAACAAGCAGAAAATTCTTCGCATCGGCTTGATCGACCAAATCAAGCGTGAGATCTCCGGCATGCACCTTGTAAGGCACCCAAACGTTGTTCAGCTCTATGAAGTTATGGCGAGCAAAAAACAAGATTTACTTCGCCATGGAGTACGTCAAAGGCGGCGAGCTCTTCGCCAAAGTCGCCAAAGGGAAATTGAAGGAGGATTTGGCGCGAAAGTATTTCCAGCAGCTAATCGGTGCGGTTGATTTCTGCCATAGCCGAGGGGTTTATCACCGAGATCTGAAGCCGGAGAATCTGCTTCTGGATGAAAATGGGGATCTGAAGATTTCGGATTTTGGGTTGAGTGCTTTGTATGAACCCAGAAAGAACGATGGTCTTCTCTATACAACTTGTGGAACACCAGCTTATGTAGCCCCTGAAGTGCTTAACAAGAAAGGCTATGATGGAGCCAAAGCTGATATATGGTCTTGTGGGGTTATTCTGTTTGTTCTTCTTGCAGGCTTTCTTCCATTTCAGGATAAGAATGTGATTGAAATGTATAGGAAGATTTGTACTGCAGAATTCAAGTGTCCTAAATGGTTCTCACATCAAACCACAAGACTTATCACCAGAATTCTGGATCCAAATCCAAGAACAAGGGTAAGTATTGCTAAGATTATGGAAAATGGCTGGTTTAAAATTGGGTATCAGCAAATTGAACCACCCAAATCACCAGTTTCCAATCCTACGAGTGATGTTCAGGCTCTTTTTGATTCTCCATCATCATCAAGTCCAGAGGAAAAAACCAAAGAAACCCCAGTGAAAGTGAAACCATCTGCCTTCAATGCCTTCGATTTAATATCCCTATCGTCAGGATTTGATCTCTCTGGTTTGTTTGAGGAAGATACGTGTCGGAGACAACATGCTAGATTCACCACCACGAAGCCCGCCTCAACGATTGTTTCAA